TGTTTGCAGTACTTCTAGATGTGTTGTAACCATTTGGAAGCCTGCTTTTGTAAGCCTTCCAAAATAATTTCAGTAGGACTTGATTGCATAATAGCAGATAGTCACCTAAGTTTCCTTTCCCTTTTTTCTTAGATAAATAAATAAATAAAAAAAAGAAATTAAACTACATTCACAGTATGCCTCAAATGTAAACAATTTGGTTGAGACTCTACTTAATGTTGTGTAAAACTTCTGACCTTTCACAATATTATAGGTATGTCTCACAAATGTGTTTTTCAATTCTATTACACGATTGTAATCTGTGCCAGGGCCAATAAAAGAAAATCCACAGACATGAGTTAAATAAAGACCAGCGATCATCTTGCACTAGCTTGTTCCCTAGCATGTATAAAAATATTTCTGGTTTAGAATTGTTTATAGTGATAAACCTTTCATTAAGATGCTTATACTTTTCAAAATCTCTCAGACTCACTTCTTTCTAGTATTAGTAGCACTGCATGTGGTGAAGTGCAACAAGATTAGACAACGTCTCATGAGTCCATCATTAGGTACTTAGTTTTGGTTGAATCCAGATTTTTATGGCAGCTTATTAAAGTATGTAATTGCTACAGGAAGTAGCGTGATAGTTGCATAGATAGGTTTTCCTCATGAGTTAGTAACGACTCATTATGGAATTAGTGCTTGTATAGCTTATTAAGTATCACTGCATGCCTAGTAGTGCTCTCCCTTGAAAGGAAATGTAAAATCAAGTCCCTGGTTATTTATGTTTCTTCAAGAATCTGTGCAATGTGCACAGCAGTATTTTGCCTGAGGACCTTTTCTTACCCAATTTGATAACTGCATTCTCTTATTAAAAAGCTACCACTGGTTTCCTCTGGAAAAGTTAGAGTTTTGACCAGTAAAAAAGCCTACACAGAAGTAGTTAAGGAGAATGGTCTTTCCTTTCTGGCAAGATCTGGGCTGCATTTATCCCATGGATGTGTGAGAAAACACGTGCAATCTGTGAAGTGTTGTGGGATACCTCAGGATAAAAGGGGTGTAATTGTCAAATTTTTCCAGTGTTTATTATAATAACATCTGATAGGTTTCATTTCACAATGGTTTTAAAAGGAAAAATAGATTAATGATTTTTTGTAAAAGGCAGTGGCCAGTTAATATGAAATGCCTTACTTTGTGCACTTTGGCTGTTATGCATTACTTGCGTCCTGTTTCAATTTGTGCATTATCAGTAAAAATCTTCAAAATCAGAACGTATCTGAAGTATTTCCTTGGCAATTCTGTTTTAATTTTCGATATTGTCCTGTATTTGTAAGTAAGCCAGTTCTTTCCTCGTTAGGGAGGTGAATCCTGAGTAGCCTAGTGCTTAAAAGCAGGGGTTAGTGATTTATTGTTTGCATTATTGAACCGGGGCGTGCCATCAAGCCAGACCTCTGGGGCAGGCACACACAGTATCCTTTCCATGAGGAGCCACTTCCTTCTGTCAGATTTTACTCTGCAATGGAGAAATATTCCTGCATATTTGATGGCAAATCAGAACCTCCAGCTAAGCTGTTGATGGATAAAATCTCCTTTGTCAGTTCCCAACCTTCTGTCTTCCTGCACGTTTGCCCTTCTTGGGTTTCTTGAAGACTCTGTCCTTAATATTTAGTAATTAATACCCCTCAAACAATCTTCTGAAATTATTTAGAATTCTAACACTATTACATATGTAGAAAAAGCCCACAAAAGCAATGAAATTAAAAGAGAAACCACCTATCATGCTTTGTTTTGCTGGTTTAAAATAGTTTTGGTAGTTAAATGTAGATGCTAAATATAACTACTTTTAAAATAATTAATTTGTGTATTATCACACAATGTTCATACAAAGCTGTAGTGCCAATTATGATAATTGACAGTACTTCTTTTGAAATTTTTTAACCTTTGATTCCTAGGCTTTCTGTATAAAATATGATACACCGCCTTTGCCATATCACAACTCCTAAGTGAATATACACGACAAATGCAATTCATGTGTTTTGTGGAAATGAAATTAGAAGTGTTTGGCTTGCTTACGATGTCAGTGACAGAGTAAAACATATGCCTTTTGCATTTAGGTCAAACTTAAATATTTACATTTCTGCAAAGCCATCTTGAACATGTAACTTGTCCTTTCCTTCCATTCCATTTTATTCTGTTTTTATGTAGTGCTCCTTAGTGTGGTACTTTTACACCCCAATGTTGCTTGTTCTCTCAGAACAATTATATTTAAATATTAGTCTGAAAATTCCTCTGCCCTTTTTCTTTGAAGTGTTTGGAAGTTCTCCTATCAAGGATTTTTCTTCCTTTTACATATAATTTGAGATTTAAAACCAGGGCCCATGGGCACTGAAGGTGCCGTAACAGTAGGATATATTGGACCTCTCATTTGATTAGACAGTGTAGGCTCAAGTTTTATTCATTACATATACAAGGTTAAAGGTTATATTTATTGTTTGACAGGATGAAAAGCTAATGAAAGAGGCTGTCATAGATACATAGATTATCTTTTCACTATCAAACCACCAGGTGATCTGCTTATTTTCTTCTTTATTGAGATTTCCTTGGGAAGAATACCTATGGTATTAGACGTTAGTATGGAAAATGTGTATGCAGACCTTACTGTACACTGAGTTTTTTGGGGTTTCAACATACTTAAAATGTGATATGGTTTGTTTATTCAAAATTGTATGACTTTTACTCCTAAATTATAGTGAATGCATGGATTTAACATGCTTCATTGTCCCTGCTCGTTAAAGTGTAAATGGGAATTTCTCCTCATTTACTTCCAGTCATACATCCTGTTAAATAAAATGATTTCTTCACCAGCCAAAGTAATACTAATATTGACATGTGTATGAGATATCACACGCCCATTCACTGAGTGGAAAAAATTATATTTTGTTAATATAGAAGGTGTTTGACTGACGGGTGGTGATAAGCATAACCACTTTTCCTTATTACTGTGCCATTTCAAGAAAAGGAAGTGATAAAGCCCCAAGGCTTCTAAATGTAATAATGCAAATGAATGCATCAAAGTGTGAATATTTCAAGGCAAACCACACTTAATACGTCCAAAAATGTGTATGCCGTGGAATGGAGTTTATGGGCTTAGCAAGAGCCACTCTCGCTGGAAAAATGAAATCAGTTTCTGTAACTTAAACTTCTCTCTTTACCACACGCAACCGTACCATCAGAAGAAAAATGAGTTTGATTCACGTTTGGTTTCTTAAATAAAAAGTTCATTTACTGAGTGAAACTCTGGTACTTTGAATCTTCCAGAACTCTTATATTTGATAAAGTTGATAGTGGTATGCTGAAGAAAAGCTGTTTACAAATTTGGATAAAATTAGAATTTATTTTAAACTTTAAAGTACTAAGATGTCCTATTTAAAGTTTGTTGTTCAGTGGGTTTTTTTAATAAAAAAGTAAGGAAAAAGCTCAGTCAGTATTCAGCCAGAGCCAAATAAAACCACGCTCAAGGTTTCTTTTGTACCCAGCTACAATTTTGCACAGTACCTTATGAAAAAAAGAGATAAACAGATAAGGTAGCTGCTGCATAAATTAGAGTCAAGATAAGCAGAATATTTCAGTGGCCGGATAAATAGGATGCTACATTCAGTTCTGCTCTCGTGAGAGAATGTAGTTCTGTGGAGATAGCTGGCAAAACAGTGAATATTACATGAGCTAACATAACATGTCCAGTGGATATAAACACTAGATGTATTGACAATACACTGGTTCAAAGGCCAGATGTCTAAAGAGATTAGCCAGATAAAAAAGAATGACATGAATAGCAGTGTGTTTTTAATGTTAAAGTAAATACTTGCTTTATTTTTAAATGGAAAAAGCAGCATAACATAAACTCAAATAGCAGCTTTTAGTACATCAGCAGTGAAGTGGCTGAATAGGCATTGTCATACAGTGAGTTGTTCTGCTTGGCTGAAGTAAAGAATATCTTACAAAACCATTTTATGAAAAGTTAATACTATTGGATATGAGTCTTTACAGAGGGGTTTTTTTAACAAAAAGACAAATGGTGTGTTTGGAAAAAGCATTTTATAAAATGTTATAGAAAGATCTTTTTATTTAATGTTCAGAACAATTTGTTTGATTCAAATTCAGTTTCTGTATTAGTCTTCCAGTTAAGGTACTGGACTGAGACATAGTACATGGATTGAGCTTTGCCTTTGTATTGTTTGTGCAAGCCATTTTAACTAGTTTGCACAGCAGTAGAATCTCATTGAAATGGAAATAAAATTATTCTCTTTCATTATGTGAAGATACAGGGATAGAGCCATAAGTAAAATTTATCTCCATTTTATAGCCATGGTATCAGATTAAAACCATAGTAGTTGACTTTCTGGACTGAGAATGGCACTGTAATGCTATGGAAAAGTGACCAAAACTCCATATACCCTACACATTTCACAAGAAATGTGAGAGACTACCATTACTGTAGAACTTGTCATCTAGCAGGACACATGCCTCGCTGGAGTAAAACTAGGTTAGCTGCTAGTTTGTACAACTGAGATTTAAAGTCTTTACAGAAAACGCACGTCTTTACTGAAGGATGAACAGTTACCATTTCCTTGGGTAACAGCATTTTGCCACATGGACATTAAAAAAACCACCAAGGAAGCCAGGGGCAGACCTCTCTGAATTTACTCCATGCTATTTTATATATGGAAGCTTTCACTTTCAGAAAATGCCTGGTCATTTGGTACACACAAACTGATCTATGTGTGGTTAATCAGCAAATTTCTAAATTACACAACAAAAAAAAAAAAAGAAAGATTTAAGCACTTTCCGTTAGCGTTTTCAGTGTGTATGGTTTCCTACACTATGGAAGATTTAAGTCCTTTCCATTAATGTGCAGAGAAGTGGTTCACATAGGGGTCTCCCCCAGAGACAGAAATGAACCTGTGTCTTCCGAATCCCAGGCTACCATCCAGATCACTAGTTCATCCAATCCAAGATCTGTCCCAGGAAGTAGAGGCCAGACTTTCTAGCTGAAGACAAGCTCTACCTCACCCCATCGTTTTTTCTTTCCTTCTCTCTGGGACAAGGAAAGGCAAATCCCAGAAAAGATTCTTCCCAGAGATTTTCACATGAAAATTTCCATACCATGCAAGAAAAGAGATGACTCTCATGATATTTCACTTCAAGAGTCCATTTTATTCAGCAGATATTTTGTGCATTTCAGCGTTTTTCTTCAAATGAATCCTAAAGTAATTGAAAGACAAATGGATTCTGACTCTGAAAAGAATACTGATGAGGATGAAGGTAATCTCCAGAATACAGCTTTTTAGGTTTATCATTTAATAAATTGAACATGTGTCTTCTGAAAGTAGATTGTTTTAGCTATTTGTGCAGGCATTTTTACATGAAAATGGGAATGCACTATCTTACAACCTTACATCTTTTATCTTTTAAATTGAAATAACACTTCTCCCTGAAGAACCTATAAAATGTGATGGTGTGTTTGCATTAGTGTTTTATGGGACTTTGGAAAATTATTGTCAAGTTCTTGAGAGAAAATACCTTTTTCATTAAATACAACAGTATATATATGTTTTTTTTAAGAGTTATTTAAAGCTATGAGTTAAACCATCATTAAAATTTTGCTAGTCTATAAAATAAAATACCTTGTAATTATTTTTGAGCATCAGTTATGCTTCACAGTTCTTGTTACTGTAATCAATTTACAGTGAAGAATGAAAACACATAACTTATTTGATGAAAGACATCTGATCAGCTTCAAATATATTTTGAAAGGCCTGGAGTTTTGATTTTCAGTCTTGCATTAATCACCATATCCCTTCTCTACTGTGCCTTCAAACATATATGTACAATAATATTGTGACAGATGACACCTCTGTCTTCCATAGCTTCAGAATTCACTGCAGCGTAGGATAAGATGCACCTTCACAGTGGAGGGAAGAGATATTCTCAGGGCGTTTTTCCATTACAAAATACAATCTCACCTATTTGTCTGCCATTTTGTGTTTCCTTCTCAGAGGGGGTGAACATTTCCTGTTAACAGACTAGGGTGTGAATTACTGCTTCAGCTTTTGAAATGGGCATTTGGGGACTGGAATTTGTTCTGCCAGAGAAATGGATGCACAGTACCTTGATGAAGGCGATAGCAGCAGGTCCCATGCAGTCCCCAAAGCAACCCAGAGCCTTGATATAATTTAGCATAGTGCACATATATCTGCACAGTTTGTCAGTCTAACAGGAAAATAATGTCTTTTAGTAAGTTACTCTTTCAAGGAAGTGGTTCAACAACCGTTTTTATATATTGGCAACTTACAGCCTATAATAATGCCAACGTGTTTCCTGACAGTGGCAGGATGTGTAACAAAACTGAGTATAACAAAAATGCAAATATTCATTTTTTCTTTTTCCAGTAGTTGGGAAACAAGCCTGGAAAGTGTTAGGGAATGGCTCATTCTTCTCTTTCAAGAATGTTTTGTGAGGTCTTGCAGTGCAATCTGCATCAGATAACACTGATCCTTAGGGATTACTCATACATTTTACACATATGAGAAAGCTATTAACATCTCCATGACACAGCAAAGTATTAAGTAGCCAGAGTGTTTCATGTGAAAAACACTGAAATCATAATGTTTTAAAATGTATGTATTCATCAAACACTGCTATTTAAAAACAAGCTCTAATATGTAAAATTGGAAAACAGCATGTTCTATGTCAGCCTTTTTAACAGCCATCTCAAAAAAAATAGCAGTGCTGAAGGAATGTAGCTTGTAGCTTTAAAACTTGTAGCTTTAAAACTGTTCAGTTACATATGTAGTGTAGTGAAACACACTGATTTGACCTTGTACTAGTATTTCCATTCCAAATGACTTTCGATTTTAACTCAGTAGAGGAATTGTGCTGTGGAATGAAATGCAAGAATACCTGTTACTATTTTGAAAAGGGTCAAAGTCCTTGAGTATATGTTTGTTTTCAAGTTGTAATTCCCTTAATAATATAAATTCTAACTCTTAATTTTCGATTTATACAAATCAAGTAATCATTTAAAGTTATAATAAGTTTATACAATTATTTGGTGTGGAAGTGTGCTCTCCTCTAGGTTTTAAACTCTGTGTGTTTGGTTAATTTTAATACAAAAACTAAAATCCAAAGATTCTTTGTAGATAGGTAGTAAATACACTATTACTATCTCCTCTGGAAAATCAGATTTAAGATTGCTTATATATTTCAACATTTTATCTACTTTCTGTTGTATTTTCTTTATCCCAGTGACTTTTGTATCAGACGATAACAAATAAATTTTGCAAAAAAATTATGAGATAAAGTGGGTTCAAAAAAAATCATAGAAAATCATGTATCCCCTAAGTAGACATGTCAAAACCGACAGTTCACAGTACTGTCTTATGTTTCTTTTGTTTTTTACCTGATTTGTGTAGACTGTCTGTTATGTATGCTCAGAATGGAGTTTGGATTTGTGAATAATTTCCAAATTCTATTGTTTTGAAGTACAAAGCTTGTTTGTTTCACTCAGTAAAACCTGGCTTTGTTCAGTCAGAAAGTAGATCCAGTCCTGCAGCACTATGCATGGTTTTTAAGTATTTCTGCTTAGGATCACCAGACACCATCAGCAGTTCCGCGTGAAATCTTTTCATCATGAACTGTGCATTACAAAGTATCCTGTGTGAGCAAAAGTCAGTTTTCATTAGCTGTGTGATTATGGTGAATGACAGGAACAGAAATATTAGTTTGGCCTCAATGCATTTAAAATGCAGTTTTAGAAGTCTATTTCCAGAGCAATGTTACTGAATTAATTGGGGAACAAGTCATACTTCAAGAAGGTCTTGAAAGTTTGCAGATGTGGATCACTTATATTTGTCAATTAAAATAAGGACAGTCATAAGACTTAGTACACAAAGCCTTTGAAAAGAAATTCTAAGATTACAGCAATCTGAAGGGATTACAACAGCACGGAACGAGTGTGGTTGCAGAGTCTCCTACGTAGTGAATCTTAATGCAGAATTAACTTATGACATATAAGACATGCCGCCCTTCAGCTGATAATATATTTGACCTCTTATCCCTTTGTAGCCTATTGGTGCTTTGAACCCAAAGAGAGCAGTCTTCTATGCAGAACGGTATGAGACATGGGAAGATGATCAGACTCCACCTTATCATTACAACACCCACTACTCTACATCTACTTCTACATTGGCTTGGCTTGTTCGTATTGTAAGTATTTCTGAATCCTGTTTTTCGTTAATATCGTTATCTATAAATTGTGGTGGTGTAAGGACACATACGGTGAAGAAAATCCATCTAAAACTAAATGCGTCTAAAAAAAAGGCTCTAGACAATACAGAAATGTGATATTACTCATATATTAATTTATTCTTTTCAGTCAGGGACAGATATATACCACATTAAAGAAAAACCTTTTATGAAAAGCACATTAAACTGTGTCATATTGAGAGAGGAATTATAGAACCAGTCTTATACTAAAGCAGTATGGAGTAATATTTTATGCAAATGAACTATGCTTCTCAATGAATTAATAACTTACAGTTTTCAGAAATGTAAAGATGTAGATTTTAACTTCAAACTTCTATTTCAATTCTGGAAACCTCATGCTTAAATCCTATCCTCAAAATCAGATCTAGGGAAGGGGGCCAAACTTCAAAGATAGAATGAATCTGAGTTTGGTTTGTGTGTTAAGACAATGAATTACAGAAAAATGAGTGTTGACAAGAGACTTAAAGTTTCACAGAGAAACATGAATTAATGAAAAATTGAGTCACCATGTAATTACTGAACTTAAACTACACTCTGCCAGTAAAAATCTGTTGCATAAAGTGTATTCTAAGCACATTTCACACACAACCAAGCAAAGCAGATCTGCACAAAGCTAGAGATCTGAGTTTTCACTCGTCTCAGCTTTCCCTAGACATGTCCTGTTTTTCTGCTCAGAAGGGAAGAATTCATGTATCTATGAGTTCAGGATATACTTCTTCTTAACCTGTGGGAAACTAAGTGTTGATTACACTCCTGTATGGAGTGACCACTGTACTCCTTTTGAATGTTGCTAAGTTATTCAGGTACTGTGAATTAATTTCATGGTTCACATGTGCTTCTTTGTTGCCTTAAAGTATATTAAAACCAGTGGTTTTATTTGCATATTTATCTATTAATTTTGGCTGCTATTCAACAAAAGATCCCCTCTTGCTAGTCGGCAAATCCTTAGATCTGCAAGTCTGCTTACAGGCTGAATGTACAACACACCAAGGAGTGTCCATTTCCTGTATTAGGCTAATGCTGTGTCATTTTTACTACTGTTGTTTATGTAATAACCTAGGTGTTCTTGCTCTCTTTCTTTTCTGCCCTAAAAGAGCGAGAGTACAAGGTTTCTGTCTTGATGGCCTTGCAATATAGACCTAAGAAATTATGTTTGTTAAAGCAAACAATATATGTGAGAATAGAAAGCAGAAAAGAAAAGGAAAGGTAGTGCTTTCCAGGGAGGAGATTGCTGATGGCAAGAAGGTGAAAACAACAAAGGGAGAATTTAGATGTGGGGGCACACCTAGATGGGTATTTTAAAGATTATTTAAATAGGAGTGACCAGCAAAGAGAAGCAATCACTAGTGGAAGGAGACAACAGAAGTGAGAGGGAGGCAAATGTGGGGAAAGTTTAAAGCTTAGAAAAGGGGAAAAAAAGAAATAACATGCTGAGATCAGATAGGGCTGCGTATGGAAGCCCAAAATAAAGATTTGAAAATAAGTGTGTTTAGAGACAGTAAAAGATTATAGCTATGGGGATTATGAAGTCATAGTGATCCTTAGAGAGATATTTTTGGCTACAAAATAAAGGATGAAAATTCCTAAGGGAGAAGATTATGCCAGTGAAGTTGATAGGTAAGGCTAAGTCAGATTTCTGGAAATTAAAGTACGATTTCTTGTTCATGAATTTTTTGAGCTAAAGTTTTGGTATGCATTTGTGAAGAAGACTGCATAAGAACATTGTATAAAAGGTAAATTACAATCTATTCCAGGAAGAGGAACGTGACAATAAGAGATCACAGAATCATAGAACTGTTTAGGTTGGAAAAGACCTTTAAGATCATCCAGTCCAACCGTTAACCTAACATTACCAAGTCCACCACTAAACCAGTTAAGGGTAGAGTCATAATTTCATGTTTCCTTGCTTGGTGGCTGGATTATTTTTAATGAAAGTAAAAACTAGGAATCATTAAGGTTGGAAAGGATTTCTAAGATCATCATTCCAACCATCAATCCAACACCACCATGCCCACTAAACCATGTCCCAAAATGCCACGTCTACCCATTTTTTGAACAATTCCAGGGATGGTGACTCCACCACCTCTCTGGGCAGCCTGTTCCAATGCTTGACAACTGTTTCCTTGAAGAAATTTTTCCTAATATCTAATCTAAACCTCCCCTGATGCAGCTTGAGGCCATTTCCTCTCGTCCTATTGCTAACTACTCAGGAGATGCAGAGATTCAGACAGAAAAATGCTTTCAGTATTTTGAGGGATTGGAGAAGATTCATGGGAAGAGATGTGCTACAGTAGAGCTTTTGGTAGAAAGTGAAAACAAACTGAGAGTGGAAGAGAGGAGTGAAAGTAAAATCATGGCAGAAGACTGCATAAACCAAGGAATAAGAGAAAAGGGAAAGAAAAAAGAGAGAAATGGAGAGAAAACAAACAAGCAAACAAACAAAAAGCTATGACAAAAAGTATACTGGGAATGAGATAGTCTAGATAGAACCAGAACAAAACAGTATAGAGTAATGGGGATCCAGGGGGAGAAACTACATGCCTAGACCTTTTTATTGGAGGAAACAGTAGTTCCAGTAGGAAAAGCAGTTTCAGCCACTCTGAAGTATGTATATATAGAGTTGTGTAATTGCCTCAAAATCTTAAAAATTTTTTTGAATCTTGCTTTTTGGCTTTGACAGATGCAATCTGGTTCCTGTCAGTTCTCTTCAAAACATGGCTCATAATATCATATTTCTGAGTCAATTCTGTGATAATCTGTTCCCTACTGCCTTATATTTCTGTTGCTTTCCTTTATCTGATGTATCAGGCTTCTTTTATAAAAGACATTTTATGCCTTAGCCTCAGTTCTGTCCTGTTTAATTGATTTTGATATCATCAATCTCTGCCTCTGTTTTGTCATTAATAAATTTTTCACTGGTTGTACAGTTTTCTCTTGAGTCCTTTTGTGTACTGAGAGTGTCCAGTAAAAATCCATCTTTAAAAGTGTCCTATTTAATTATGTTTTCAAAAATATGACAGTCTTATCATATAATATGTTGAAGCTACTGATAATTACAGCAACTATAATAATTCTATTATTAATTTTTGTTCTTCTGCCTTTCATTATACTTAGTGGAATAAGGTGTAATCCTTAACTGAATCTGTGGGCCACTAGTGCATCTGCAAAGCTTCTGCTTGTATTTTCTATGAGCTGGTTGTACAAGTCTAGGTGTGCTTCGAGCTGGTTGTACAAGTGTAGGTGTGCTCCATTCTCTCTGTAAGAATGCTAGGAGAAAAATGAAGGCAGTTTCAGGATAACCAATGGTTTGCCTCACCAGGCCATATATCAGACTGGTTAGGTTCACTTTTGAGGGTTATACAGCTGACCCTGAAACTCTCCCAAAGCAACATAATGCATGCACCCTCTTTCTGTACAGCCTGCCCCACCATGTGGGCATGCACACACTCACATGTGAATTGAGATTATAATTCTTAATTAACCTGTACATGTTTATTTAAACTAATCCATTGTACATTTTGGACTACTACATTATGCTAGAATTCTGAAAGATCAAGAAACAATCCTGTAACTAGCTTCATAAAAAATTAACTCAGCCACAGCCTAGAAATATTTAATATTATTATTATGAATGAAGCCTGCATGATCTCCAGAAATGTTAGGTTCATATCCAAAATCAACTGTTTCTTGAAATTGATCAGCTTGCTTTCTAAGTTGAGGGGTAGATTATTAATGGTTAGATAACAACTTTACAGAGATAGATATTGAATATGAAAGTCTACCGTATTGTTCAGTCAGGTTAATAAGGATGATAAGAACAGAGAACACCATGATAAGTATAATATTGCCTTTCTCTCCTTTGAGGTGTTACTGAAATCAAACCACGGTTAAACATTTTTTGCACATCACACATCTTTAGACCTAAATCTAAGAAATTCAACTTATTCCTTAGGAAATCTGAGCTGACATCACCCACAAGTTTGCTCCAGCAAACAGAGTAAAAGGTATTCTGCAAAGGGATGCACTGTTCTGTTGATGCAGTTGCATTTTTGTATCAATTAAATTAAATATTCATAGTTTATGGATAGGTGACCTTACCACCTGGTTCAAGAGTAATTTTTTTCACGTGCTTTCCATGTGGACCAGTGAATATTTGAGATGCAGTAGGTAGAATAGTTTAAACAAAGAATCCTACATGAGAATGCCATATATTCCAGTGACTTGAATGTCAGCCTGAAGAGTAGACAGAAGAAAACAGAAAAGTAGAAGAATTAACTCTGGCTTGAATGTGAATATCATCACTGTCTTCACATTTTAGGTGAAAGAGGCTAGAGCTGCGGTGCAATTGATTGCTCTCAGTAGTTGCTGTTGGAGAAGTTGTGTTTGTGTGAATCAGTTACATCGTCATTGAAACAAAGACCAGTATTAGAGAGTGTGATTCTTTAATGTTGTGGTCAAGAAGTTTGCAGAGAAGAATTGATTTCCAGTTTCTGTTACAATAACTAAGTACTTGTACAAGGTAGAAGAAATTCTGGATTTATTGTGAGTCATGTCTGATTGGGCCAAAACTAGTTTTTAGTGAGATGTGAAGGTGGGGAGGACTTGAAATCCTGTTGTAAACAGAAGTGAATCTGAGTCTCATATTTGGTAGGTCTGAGGAGAACAGTCACAGATATAGCAGAGAAAAGGTGTACATCACTCTGACAAAACCCCAAATACTGTCTTTTTCTCCTCTCACAAATGGCTGAAAAGACATTTTTGTTTGACATGAGATGTCTCAAAATGACACATCCCTTCCTCTTCCCTCCCCTGCTCCCACCATAAATGATTCAAATGGGACTAGATGCTGTTAAAAGGGGGAAGGAGGGAGAGAAGTGCTGTTGAATGGAAAAATTACTTGTTCCCACAGCTCAAGCTTGTATTCATCGTAATCGAGTACCCCACAAATTTCTCTTCTTGTTGGCAGTGAACAAGGTGTGAATTTTATTCAGAATATGAGGAACGAGTGAGATGGGGTTATAATGAAAACATTGTGCAGCTTTATAGCTTTCACAGCAACAAAACCTTTACATGAAATGACAGTAATTGGTATCATAGAATAACAGTATTTAAATGAGTATATTGAATACAGATATGAATTGTATTTATATAAGCACTTGACTTTCCAGAGAATAAAAATTACCTTAAAATTATGTGAGAGGTCTGAGATAAAGCAAGTGAAAGCTCTGAATTTCTGCTAAGGATTAAAAATCCAAAAAGATAGTCACAACAGGTCATAGCAGGATAGCATAATAGAGCACCCTGTAGTGCTCAGCTATTAAAAGTTTAATCCTTGATTATGAATTTTATTGCTTTTGTATATTTGTCTCAGATGCTTAAAATAATGTTGTCATGGAATTTTGGATTAATATTTTTACATAATTTATTGTAATTACATCATTTTTCTGGTTTCTGCTTTTTTTTTAGTCCATCAACCGCTTCTGATTTCAGAACCTCAGCAGTGACCCACAGTCTGCTGCACAATGACATTCACAACAAATTACATGTATCTTATAAAGAAAAAAGTGATAGGTTGGGGTTGGTAGAAGACAGAATTCTTTATGCTTAGATCAAAAACATATAAAGTTTTTCAGTACGGGTAAGCTAGAAAAATAGCATAATTTGCAAAGATCGCTATTGTAAATATATACAGAGATTTGGAGGGTGAGAATTTATTTAAAACCAAAATAATTCTAATGTTGAAAGAATTTAATGTACATTTACTGTTAAAATTATAATATTAATAGAATTTTAGTCTGAATTAATATAATCCAATTCCTGTGTATATTATTTTCTGTTTGCTAGCTCTGGGTCTGAATCATACACTTTTGATTTATATTTTACATGAAGTACACTGTATGAAGCACTGTAAAATCTAGACATATGAAAACTTAATTTCTTTTCTTTCAGAGTTACAATTCATTGTGATACTTTTATGCTGCTCACCAAGTTGAGCTGCTGTTAAATTTTAATATTCTTTTCAAATTATAAACCTCTTCCTCACTTGGCACAAGCTCTTTCAATATTCACGAGTGCAAATGAAGTCACTGTGCAGTGGGAGTTAGGGTCCTCCAACAAGAAGTGATATTGTGATTATTTTTTATTTAATTTAATTATTTTTAGTTAATTATTTAGCACATACTAGGATTCTCTGTTGGGAATAAATGCACTGGTGAAAGTATATTTCTTAGATTGGTACCTATTCTTTTGAATGTATCTTTTTGATATAAATCCCCAATGTTTTAAGAGAAGAAAAGACATGGAAAAAAATCCACTGTTCAATTAGCAGTAGAATGTCTTGCATTATTATAATGAAAATGAGTCCATATTTGCACTGACATACACTGAAAGTTAAGCTACTGTCCCTGGGAAAAAAAAAACAAAACCAAAAAAACCAATCTTTTGTTCAAATATGAACAATTCCCTTAAGCTGTTTCAAAGATGTCGGCTTACTATGATGACAATAAGAGAGAGATCCCATTCCTTCTTCTTTAGAGAGGGAAATTTAGAGTTTTTCTCTTCTTTGAAAGAAAGTAGCCTGTGTTGACTGTTGTGTATGATAGAAAAGATTAATTGGGAAGACATGCAGAGTAAAGATTAGAGAAACAATGGTCTCTGGAAGTCTGAATTCCCGCTTTTATTTTCATCCTCTTTTTGGAGTCTTTCACTACCTTTGCATCCATGCTCTCCTTATGTATATTTTAATTGCTCTTAAATGCTACAGAAAATTAATTACTTCAATCTTATTTAATCTTGGGTAATTTAAACACAAGGTGTATAACATGACATAATTCCCTCAAAACTTCTTTATTAGCGGAGGAGTTCCCTGCTTTGTTCAAAAGTTTCAGAAAGGGAAATAGAAGATATATAAAATAAAATTCAAATAGTAGATGAGTAATACTGTAAGAAGAATTATGAACTGGTGATTATGAACTGCCTTGATTAACAAAATTTCCAAATGATCAGGACATGCAAGGAAATAAATTTGGGTGTGAATTTAATGGAAGGGACACTTTTTCAAACATTCCCCATCAGACTTTGGCAAAGAGGAAGAAGTAGTTTCCATCCATGTGGGCATATTACCAAATATTAATTGAATCAGAGAGCTAATGGAGTGGTAGTGGAAAACCAGGGAGTTGGCAATGATCTTGGTAATCAGGTTCTGCTGTCAAATTAAGGATTTGGTCCCCAGTTAACCCCTCCTCTGCAGTGGAATGCAGTGACATAAAAATGGGTTCTCCAGACTGTCTAAGACTTGAGCTTTTCCTACCCAAAAGTTAATAGCTGTTTCCATTTAGTAAGTATTGGGAGTGTGGTTTCAGGTAGAATTAGCAAAAGAAAAAACACTAAATATTTCATCTCTGTACCTCTGCCCCAAAGTAATGCTAAAGCTAGGTTATCTTGTAATGATAGTCAGCCTCATAATGACCATACAGCCATTCTGCCCATCATGAGGCAAATGGAACCTCCTGAGTCTTTTAAATTAAATGAAAACAAAAGGAAAATGTAGGCGGAGGATTTTTTAAGATTTTATTTTGACATACCATCTTACAAGAGGTAAACAAAGCATGGTAATATAAATAATGCAGAGGGTGTTTATGATGGTTGGAGTGAAGTAGGCAACCATTGTGAACTGGGACTAAGCTACATAGGTCTGCCACTGATGGATAATTAGTCTTATGGAAAAGTGCATATATAAAATAACCTTTACTGCCAGAACTAAAGATTTGTGTGTGCAAAATGCGTTAGTACCAATAAATGTACTAAGACATTCAGTACAGATACCCATGCATAGATACAACTCTGAGGTGCCATATTTTTCTTTATTTCTACCTCTGTGAAGTATTTTGATCTGCAAAAGTCATTTGGATTTCATTAGAAACCTGCTGCATGATTCCTTCTCCTGTTTTCTTAATCTGTCTTCATTTCATTGACTACAGGAGCCCTTTACAACATTCTTTCTAAATGCAAATGATGGCAAATTTGACCACCCGGATCGAACCTTCTCTTCAGTAGCCAGGTCTTGGAGGAACAGCCAAAGAGATACCTCAGATGTGAAGGTAACACATACAGTAAATAAATTGATAAATGTGCATTTTCATTTATGTTATTTTGTTTTATGTAGGGACAAAGAGGGTTTTGTGTTTCCTATCTTCATATTCAGTACACTAGGGATAGTTTAAATAAAAGGTAGATGTTACTAAAGATTATGGTTGTAACAGAAACAATCAAAGATTCTTTGAAGTTGAGTGGACAAAAGGTGTTTTGTTTCTAGAGAAAAACAACCTAACTGATCTAATTTAGATCAGATAATCAGGAGATGGAGAAAAGCCCAATAAATTGTTCTTTCCTGCTGTTAACTCAATATTTGGCCCACTCCATAAAACACAGCAGGAATTGGATTTGACCTTAAAGTGTCATATTGTTATAGCTTGCCTAGCTCTGGGTTTGCATTGCCTGGGGCAATTAATAAAGCATTAATGACAAGACCCATTTAAAATGTTGGCTTTTCTGTACAGCTTTAGCTTTTACTTGACTGTGCCTGGGGATATTATGCAACAATACGCATTAGATTAAAACAACTTCTACACGATATACAGAAACAGCCGGAGAACAGGGTGATTTTACTGTTGTTATTCCTTACCTATTGTTAAATACAAAGGATTATTGTTCATATACATGGGACCTTATCAGAAAGAACCCAAAATCTATTAATATTTTGAATAATATGGTCCTTTCTTGATTGTCATTTTCTAGTAATAAGGTAGGCAAAGGCTGCAGTACTGTTAATTGCTCTTTTTAAAACTTTATTTTGAAGTGAATATATCTCACGTCTATTTCGATACTGCCACTCGTACTAGGAAATGCTAAAGCCGAAGTCACATTACCATTATATTTTTTACTTAACTTGACAAAAACCAAAGATATAAATTTGTTGATTTATTTTTATTCCAGAACTCCTGTTTGCATAAATATTCCAGCAGTCTCAGAAGTGTATGTGGACAAACCATATTATTATTATTCAGTTACTAGTTAGAATAACAAATTGTAAATTGTATGGTCATCTTAACATATGGGAGAAAATGCTTTTTAAAGAAAAGAAATTAACCTAAACCTCTTACAACCCATTTCGTGGTTTTTTTTTTATGCTGCTCTGCAAGTCAATGGTATTTTAAGTGCTATCACTGTTACCTTTGTAAGAAAAACAAAGGAAATTTCAGGACTTGAAAGGAATTCAAGTTAGTATCTACTATATTTGAAAGGCAGCCATTTCTTCAAATTCAAAGTGCTGACATTTTGATTTTTCCCTTTCAATTAAATCTGTTTTTCCTGTTATTCCACTAGAATATCTGGGAAAATGGCCTCCTAGGAGTGGGACTGAAACAAAAGATAAGAGCCTTAAACTGAGGAATAAGGGAAGACAGTTGGAAGTGACTGTAATCTTCTTGTCTGGCTTTAGTACACAGGAGGAGGGCAGTTAAATACATGAAGGCATTGCAAAAGATAAAGGAATATCTGTGGACAGACGGAGGGATGGTATTCAACTAGGGTATATAATTAGTGAAAGGATTCTTCCTAAACTAGTAACCAAATGAGTTACCAGTAAAACAAAGAACTGAAATGTTTGTATGAAAATACCAGGAGTCTTGTGAACCAAGTGGGGTAATTTAAACTGCTGCTGCCAGCTACTGCAAGGATGCGGGAATTATGGAGGGATAACAGTTGCATAACAAAATGTATTTGTATTAAAAAAAAATCAAGTTATTAAAATAAAACAAGTATTAAAAAGATGCTGAAAACCAGATACCTTTAGAAAAGGAAGGCAAAAGGTGAAGATGTGGGGTAGCTATGTACTTTAATGTCTTTGAATTTAAAGAAGGGAGTTTGGGATAAATTGGATAAAATAGTAACAATTAAGGGTCAGAGTTGCACTGGAGGAAAGATTGTAAAATAATGTATTCTAGAATACATTTGGGAGTCTGCCATAGAGCCCCAGAGTCAGATTTAGAAATATATACATTTCTGGTTTGCCATTAGAAAGAGAAATACTACTTGGAGCTAACTCATTACAGAAAATCTAATATGGGAGACACAGATGAGGTATGTTAGCCAATAAATGTTTACTCCAGATAATCCCCGACCTGTCTGTTCAGGGATACTTTAGGGATTAAAGATGCTGTTTAAAATATGGTTTTGTTAATTAATGAAGATACAGGGAAGGTGGGTTTAGAAATTAACCTTGAATTGATTTATTATGAGTTGATTCAGCTTAAGATAAAAACAGATAAACAAAAGCAGATTCAAAAATAACCTAAGTCTTTAAGAGATGCTAAAGCAAACAGAAGAAGTTTGTAAGCTATCTAAATAAAAAAGAAAAAGTAAAAAAAAGATAGAAATGAGAGATTTTTTAATGTATTTAATACCGGTATTCAATGTAATGCATCATCAAATTAATTTATTATATATTGATACAAAGCCACTACTGGAATAAGTCTACTGAAGTACACTTCAATAGCCTAAGCAATGTATGTCAGTGCATTGCTGTTTTGTGTTCAGTTTAACAAGGAAACTTGAAGATCAGCAGGATGGCAGAAAGTTTATATCCTTAGCATTGTAATAACTAGAAAATCTCATGGCATCTAAATTCCACCTGAAATAGTCTGATTAGTCATTCATTTGTTTCAGAGCTCTTATGTTCTTGGAGAACACAAGTTTTTGTTTTTCCTTGTTCAATTTTTAGCATGTATTTATGCTGGATAAGGCAAATTCTTAGTCCTTTGCTGGGAACTAGCTAGTAGAAGTATATACCTGAACTGGAGGGAGCCATAAGAAGAGCAGCAAATGTGTTTAAGGAGTTGGATACAGGAAGAAAAATGTGTGTATGTGTGGGATAATTAATGTCTAAAAGTGAAGACATGGTATCATAAATGCTATAAAATATGCAAACGTATGAAAGGGAGAAGAATTGTTTGTCAGGGAACAAAGAAGTAAACCTCAGAGGACAGGGATCAGAGTTGAAAAATGCTTGCATAATCAACAGAGTATGAAAAGTTAAAGTGGAATTGAGTATTCTCTGAATTTGAATATCCTCACAAGGGGAAGTGGTAAATCCCTTATTTCTCGAGCTTCTTAGAAACGTAGACTGGCAAAACACTGGAAAAGCATCAGGGACAATCATGAATTGGCAAGAGGATGCGCTAGTTGACCCTTTAGGCCCTTTCCATTTGTAGAGTCTGTGTTCCTAGCGATAAATCAAGAATGAGTATAGCAGCTAATTGTTGCTGTTGTTTGTTGCTTAAGATCTTAATGAACTGCATTTCTCAATGCCATGACATCAGGGCCAACTTTTCCCTGAGGCCTTGGAGTTCATTCTGCAAAAGGATGGGAAACTGAACTATTAATAATACTACAAATATCCCGTTTTTTCAGATTAGTTATTCTACTGCTTGGAATGCCTCACAGGCTTTTAAGCACTTTAATCAAGTTTTCAGGGACTGGAAAAGCAGTGAGGTTTGGGGAACCACCAAGAAACCCCCACAAAATCTCTACCCGTTTTGCCCACTCTACTAAGAGCAGCAACCACTGTCTTGCACAACAAAAGGCCTTCAGCTCTGAGAGTGTGAAACATCCAAAAATTCATTTTCAGCTGTCTGGGAACTTCTAAGATTTATCTAGCAGTCCTGTGAGAAAGTAGATAGTATGCAAAAGAGAAGATGTATAGAGGTTGTATGTAAGTACAAAATCTCAAAGCATGTTCTCTGTCAAAGTGTTCTGCATATTTGTGTAGCTGCTTCTGGCTGCACACAGTTATAAATGGGGGTCTTTGGCAGTGTAGATTCCTGTGTGATATACATGCTATAAATTGTTTTCCCACCCTAAAGATTTTTTTGAGTCTTTATAGTAAATATTAGGTGTGTGGAATATGGACTATCCATCAAAGTAGCAAACTTTCAAAACTGTTAAGAGTAGCAAGTGTTCATTATTCATGTATTCTTTATCATATATTTGAAATTCATCTGAGCTGCTTTAAGTACATTTAATCTCTGATCTCACTAATCTCATTAATTACTGTGGCACAGGTTATGAAATAATTTAAAAACAGCGTGTGTAATGAATTAATCTGACATTCTTCAATGATCTTAAAGGTCTTTTCCAACCTAAACGATTCGATGATTCTATGGCCACAATTTTTGCTTTCAAGTACCATATTAAATAATGATATGAATTGCCTTAATTCTTTATTAGCAAGGTCTAATTAAAAAAATTCTTTTGAAATTAATTTCTTTAGGAAAGTAAAATCTGTATTATAATTTTTTTAATCAGTTATTGTTTAAGAAAGAGGACTGTGAAGTGCTTTATTATTAAGTGCTTAAGTCACTTCTGAAGGGGTCAGTGTTAACTAGTAAATTCAGATTTTTAAGCAATGCAGATACTTCCCACACCACTGTTCTTTTGCAGCCTCAATATAATTTTAAAGGAAACATCCAAATCACTTTTTAAAAATGCTGCCTTAAAATTTAAAAAATAAATACCTGACATTTGCAAAGGAATGTGTATCTCTTTAGGAAGCTGCAGTTCTGTGGGTCAGTCTCCTTTTTTCACATGCATGTGTCCTCTGGCATTCTTGGAGAGTTCACATATGTAAAGGGAATGGGAAGAAGGGAGGGGAAAGGGAGAGAGGGAGAAACAGAGAGAACATGTGAACTCTCCTCTGGAACTGAATTGTTTCCACTGAGCTAATGAAAATAAGTCTGTGGCAGTAGTTTGATCAAAACAAAGCCATAATTGCTACATCTTGAATTGTGACAAAAGGTACACCACCTTTGAAAAATGTAGCGTATGGTAGATTATTGTTCAATGGATGATTAAAGATCTACTTAGACAATTTTGTTTTGTACATTTGGGCTGGTGTGGTTCATTTTCAAAGAAACCTGTTCACCTACAGTGGATGAAACAGAATTAACATGGTATGTGCTATATTAGAGTAGTAGCACACAAGGGAGAACCTGGATAACAGAATTTATTTTATTGTGTCTCCCTTTATCAACATCGACCTTCT